CGAGGGGGAAGGGCGGGGGGGAAACTTTTTTTTTTTTTTTTTTTTTTTTTTTTTTTTTTACCATCTTGCGTGGGCATGTGCGTATTCCTGGCAGACGTACGACGAGTGAGGGAGATAAGAACAGGAATGTCTACGCCCAGGCTTTCTTAACTTGCCTGAACTGCTCCAGGACGCTCAGGGATGCGCCTGCATTGTTCTCAGCTGAAGCCCCCCTCCAACTACTAACGCAGAATACAGACTTTCAGCCCGCAGTCGGCTGCTGCGTCTTCTCGCCCTATTCATGAATTTCAGTATCGCCTCCATTCGAACTTGGTAGGCAACACGGGAAATTCGGTGTGGCGCAGGCCCTACCCCGCTGCATGGCAGCAGACAGAAGAAGCACAAACAGCTCCTCAGCTTGGAAATTACTCATAAAGGTCGAGTCCTCCTTCCTTTCTGAACAGTGGAAGAAACAACTCCCTGCTTCCAGCACCATTCCAGAACAGCCTTTGGCCAATTCGGTGCCTGAATTCAGTGATGCGCCCTTAGCAACGCCTCCCACCTCTTACGTTTTGAAGTGAAATACTTCATGCAGATAAAGCAGAATAGGAAAATCGGACAGATTTGGGGGTGGTGGGGGTGAGTGATTAGAAAGATAATAATTCAGCTTTAGCCTGCTTGAAAAGAGCTCAAAAAGCTGACCTGAAATCTCTTACGGTTTTGGACGCCTCACGGTGACCAGCTGGAGAGCTGAACGTAATCCCAGAGCACGCGTGCTGTGTGCAACCCATCTCCCAGTCTCTTAATTCTGACCTTGACTTTTCAAGGATTGTTTATGGTGCATATTACCAGGACATTCAGGCACCTCTTGTGGCTTCCCACTGTAAATACCAAGAGAGCAAACCCTCTGATTTATTAATCAATTAATTAGATACAATGTATTTATGGCTACCGCAGGCCCACAGTAATTTGTTTTAACAAAGCGCCAGGCTGCAGTGAAAAACAAACTGATGTGGCGTATCAGTCCTTCGTAAGGAGAATTCCTCTCTCTTCCTAAGCAAAGCCAGTAATGATTATTTAATGGCATGGCTAACGCTTCCGCTGAAATTTGAATCTGTAAATAGCTGGACCATTTGTTGTCTCTTTCTTCACCTTTACTTTATGAGTTTTGTCCTGGAAAAAAAGAATAAGAAAAAAATATTTGCTGGCATGTAAGAAAGGGGAAAAAAAACCTCAAAACCCAAACAACCCACCCTCGTATAAATAAGGAAGTCCTCGTCTGGGGCTAACAAGGCATTGGTGAAAAACGGTCACTTTCCACTGTTCAGGTGGGAATAATATTTCCACCCGCTCTCCCCACCTTTAGGTTGTCAGGTACAAGCTGTTTTGTTCACAAGTGCCAGTGAATGGCAAGTCCCATTGAGACAAATCATTTTTTTGGTCACTGGGATTTTTAAGATCTTCTCGTAACCTGCAGAAATGGTTCCTTGCCTCTGCTACTTGAAAATATTAATTTAGTACTGGAGACATGGCAACGGTATTGTAGAAAAGACTTGTGAGCCCCATTTCAAAGTTGAGTCTTTGTCCCTGCTGGCACAGCAAGACTTGGCCTAGCAGAGCTAATTTACTGGCCGTGGCACCGCTGGAATGCTTCACCCCCTTGCTTTTTCTGTACCCAAAGAGGATTACTTATTTTCAGGAGTTATCTGGAAGTGTCAGTATGACATCAGAGTGGAGAAACACACGCATACAAAACTAGGCCTAATAACAAAGCAGATTCAAAGATCCCGAAGGAAATCCTCACCAGAAGGTCTTTACGTGTCTGGATTTTCTGCGCAATCACAAACATGGCCTTTTCCCTCTCAATGCGCTGCTTCAGGAGGTCGTACTGATTCTTCCTTTGCTGGGCTAATTTCTGGAGAATAACAAAAGCATTTTTAAGACAGAGAGGAACAAGGCACTGTGGTCTATAGCTGACCTATTCTGAGGCACTTGGACTTCACAAACCTTTTTCACATTTTAAAATCACCATCATATTAAAGAAAGCTGCTTCAATTCTGTGGCTAAGTTCTAGAGAACCATTTAACATCTTGATTCTCATACTGAAGGTTTTCTAGTTAGGCCTTAATTTTTTGTGCTTGTTTTAATCTCCTAAACCCAAACATAAAAGACCAAACCTCTCCTAACCTGGTTTAGATGCTGTGTAACCTTATTCAGTAAGCGGCTGGAATTTCGTTTTTCTAAATCCTCTGAATTTTAGTGTTGAGTGCAAGATAACATTTAACTCCCTAACAAAAACACAGTTTATCGGGGGGAAGGGGGAGAGGAAAAAAAACCCCCAGAGACCAATTCCTGAAGTGCTTAGGAATTGCAGAGAGGCCTCCCAAAATGCAACTTGTTTGGTCACGTTTACCTACTAAGCGCAGATGGCTTTCCCAGCACAGAAATGGTATTACTGCAGGTGTGATTTCAGTAATTAAATGAAGGAGAACAGATCCCAACATGCTTAGAATATGACTCAGACATTTAGAGGAGAAAACTCGTCAGTCTGCAACTTGTCCAACTGCTTTCCTGACAAGCCAAACTGAGAAAGCTGGCAAGAAGAGAGGGACCACAGGGTGTTTGTTATCTGACATCTGATTCAGAAAACAGGCTACAAATTCACCGATCGGCAGTTTTAGACAACTTTATTTTTACCTTACACCAACTCGAGCTTATAGGACTGCCCAGTATATCTGAACTAACTATACAGTATTTACAGTGTTAAAGCCCAGTGTAGCTACTTTTAGGACAGAAGTGCTGTGACATTAAAACATCAGAATCAAAGTTGATTGTGTAAGCAATTCATCCTGAAGGATCATGAAACACTTTCAATTCAGAAACCCAGGAAGCGAGACAATAGCTTAAATGTCTTTGAGAAGAAATGGGGGGGAGACCAATCCTGAATCTCAAGCCACTTCAGGCTCAGGACCCAACTGAAAAATACCATGAGATCAGAAACCCAGCAACAGATAATCTGTGTTGGAATAAGGCTCTCCACATCCCTATTCAGGGGTGCAAGGGGTTTTGGAGAGGTGTGAGGGGAGACTTAGCAGTGGATGCTGCAGAAAGCACACTTAGAACTGCAGCAATCTAATGAAAAGATAGTCCCATAGGCGTATGCCATGCAACGGAGAAGCGGAGTAGCAAGTGCCTGATCAGATCTATACCATTCATTTCTGGCCCATACGTCACAACTCTTGATTTATAACCCACAGGGGACTGGAATACAACGGAACAAGTTCTCAGTGTCGGTCCAGGAGAAGATTTGACTGTAGGTTCCAGGCACTGGAGGATTAAGTGACACCCGCTACAGCCTTGTGTCACCAATAAAAACCCCACAACAGTCCAACAAATCCTTTTTAGCGCTTAATACAGAAAAGATGTAAAACCTTAAGAAAACTGTAATACAAGTAGTGGCAGTACAAACGACCTTTAAGTGGGCAGGGTCAGTAGCTCCTTTCAGCGTCTCTTTCTGCAACGTTGCAATGGTCGGTCGGTTGTACACTCTGTCTACGAGCTCTGGAACAGTATCCAGGTGAGTTGCAATATCAAACTCCTGAACTATAAATAAAAAGAAATTTAGGAATAAATGCACATGGGCTTCTTGGACTAATGCTCAGCAAACCTTCCAAACATGCAATTTAAGTAGTCAGTGATGGAAAGCCCCCGCGACATAGCTCCTGTGGAACTGAGGTCTTATCTAGTAATCGAAAAGAGATTCCTACAGCACCTGAACTATTATTTCAGGGGGGGGAAAAAAAAAAAAAAAAAATCTTTTTTACGGTAACAGCACAAAGCAAGCACAATACTATTCAAACAGGCTACAGTAAAACGTCACAGAACAAGTTTTTCTCATAAAACCTATTTCAACCTTACCTTCTTTTTTGGTATCAAAAAAGAACACGTGCTTGTTGGGATTCTTCCCCTCAGCATCCAGCAGATGGAGCTCCGACTTCAGCCTCTCGATTTTCTGCAGGAAAGAAAAGTTCATCTGTTTCACCACACGGCCCTAACAAGGTAAATAATGTCTCCCTGAAGTAGATCCCTGCTTGTTTCTCAAGCATACAAGCAACTGAACTCTTCCTTCCTTCTTAATCTTTGACAACACACCTACTCTATATTTATGTCGTGTCTTCACCACCTTTTCGAGTGGAGGTTAAGAGTAATTTCTGGTATTTGTACAAGTATTTGCCAAACAGGTACAAATCAATTTTCACAACAGTAAGTTATCTGTACGGCAGACAAGGTAGGAACGATAACCATGAAAACGCTAGCAAAAGTATGAAGGGAAGTTCAAAGCTGCCTGTCTTTAATGCTTTATCTGCAGCGATGGCGTGTGAATCGACGTCAGAGCATAAAACATGCTCAGAAGTGGGTCGTGTTTCTGGTGATTGCCTGCCTACCGTGTGCAAACAACCCATGTCAGTAACAATTCTTTATGAGAAGCAAGAGTACATGTGTAATGCCTGAGATTTACGTAAGAAATTGCCATGTTTTATAATAATGCATAGTACAGTTTTTATTATTCAGTACACTTTAGGTTCTAGATACAGCGCTCCGCTCACATTTCCACCTATCATTTCCAGTATTACACAAATCAGATTTCACTAAACACAACAGCAACAACAAACAAACCACAATAAAAAGAACAATTCTGAGCAACCTGGAAAACACTAAAAAAGCAAAGTATTACCTTGGCTTCTGCCACTCTCTTCATTTCTACATATTTAATATCCTGCGTCCTCATCAATTTCACCTGTTCGGGGGTCACTTCATCCTTTGGCTGCTTTATTACATGAACTCCATCCTAAAACAGACAGAACATCACCCTTACAGACAGACACCATCTTAGCTATACTGTACTATGGGTCCTAATAATAAAAGCAAAAGAATCGTTTCGTCCTTTGCCTCTCATTTTCTTCAAAGCCTTCCACAGGCACCAAACCAACTTGGCTAATTTACTTAGTAATTCATGAACTAAAAACAAAATAAGGTAGAAAAAAAAATGATGTTACTTAGGGCAACAGAGTGTAACTCTGCTTGAAGGCAATTTAGATTCTCACCTGGAGCTCTGCACGTATCATTTTAAAGTAGAACTCATCAGGATTCTTGTCCAGAGCTTTCTTTTGAAGCGCTCTGAGGGCATTCTGTTTCTTGTGATAGTCACTGGGAGAAAAAAACAAACAGAAGTTGTTCAGCAGTTCCTGTTCATGCTCCCTGATGAGATGCTGAGTCCTTCAGAGTGATGTTCAGAGCTTTGGGACAGCAGACAAGGCTCCAGATGCGGAGCTGGACACCAGCAAACGACTTTAGCTTTACAGTTTATTCCTTAACAAAGCCAGAAATCAATGATGTCCAACAGTGAGCGTTGAAGGAGTAATGGAAACTCGCTCACCCGTTCTACAAAGCTTGCCGAGCTGCTCAGGACTCCTAGAGCCTCTACAGAATCAGCCCCCAAAGATGAAGATAATGCTCGTACGTTTTGTATTAATCGCAATAATAACGATTTTGCGAGGCCTTCGCCCCCTGCGCTCCCCTTCCCTCAGGCTCAGCCGGGCCGTGGTTAGCGCCCTGCGCCCGCTGCCTTTGTTTCCACGAAAGCCCCTGCTGGAGCGGGTCCGGTCCTCCGCTGTTTGCGCCATCACCGGCTCCTCACGTCGCCTCCGCCGCCCGTGATACCGGGGGCAGCGGCCGCTGCGGCCG